ACTCTTAAGTATACACATCTAAGTATGTTCTTTTTCAGCCCATTGAAAAAATTTTAGAAATCAGAAAATCTTAAGGAATCACAAAAAATCTAATTCACAGGATGTTGCTATTTAAGGTTGGCCTACTTGATTGCAAGCTCTTGGCAGCCAGGTTTTGCTTATTAATTTAAGCCTGTGCATTTCATTCATTCTTCCTTTCTGGAACAAAGCAGTATCCTGGACATCATAATGCTAACAAATGTAAAAGACCCAAACAATACCTGGTCTAGGAAGGTGATCAGAATATATGTCAGGTGGATCCATGACAAGAGGAAAACTGCAGAAAAATTTGTCAAAAGTTTGCATTCTCATTTTAGCTCTCAAGCAATCCATTAGTAAATGAGGCACAAAAGACTTCTTTTGTCCAGTTTGTTTATTTACATTTTCATTTGTAAAATAGAGAAACCTGCCAAATTTCCAGGATCTGTAGTGACGTTTTGCACATGATAAATTTTATTAAAGAATCTATAAATATATAAAACTATGGCTCAAATGTGTCACAAATAGAAAAATATGCAACATATTATATATGTAAATGTTATATATACACATATCTATGAATTGGTTTCAATAAAAGCATCATATGTGTATATATTTATATATCTATAAATATATAGAGAACAGAATAAATTCCTAGAAGGAAAGCAAATTTGTTATAAATAAAATAGTTACAAAGTTCAATGAAAGGATCTTCAAAGTAATAAAAATCAAAAATAAACAGAACAATTTATATGGCCAGGTGAATAAGATTACCACCAAAGGCAGGAAGGCTATTAGCGCATAACTATGTCATAAATAAAAATGAAGTTTCAGTACAGAAGTGCAGCTTAATTCAAATTTTGAAAGCAAAGAATGTCATAACATTCTATTAGCACATGGAAACAATTGTATCCTTACATCATTTTTGATCTGAACATGTGTTCTACTGACTGTTTTTATTTTAGCAAAAGTGAGATTTTTAGAGTTTATACTCAGACATGGGGAATTTTAGTATTAGTTTTCCCTATACAGTTAAACATAAAGTCATATAGATGAATAATCTATCAAGACCTATTACTTTATCTTTTGAACAGATTGCTTCTCACATGCAAGAGTTTTGAGTAGGTACCACTTTGTCTTGCATTTGCAATTTATGAATATATAGTACATTTTCATGGTTCAGAATTCACAGTGATATAAAATGGTGTACATACAATAGCAAGTTCACAACTTTTCTTGAACCCATTAGAGTGCTGAGATTGCAAGGTGACTAACTGGCCCAAAAAAAAAAAAAAAAAGTCTTGGAGCTTACAGGAAAACACATGATATGAGCAGTGGCTTACCAGAACGAGATGCAGCTGGACAATAAGGGTTAAGCTGTGGCCAAATCAGTGAAGACTGAATGTGCACTGGCAGAGGGTGAAGGACCCGGGAACTGCAAATACTGGGGGAGTCTGCCAACTGAGGACTCAGAAAATGTTGTCATATTTCAGAGATTCAGAGAAAGTTTCCCTTTTGATGCAGAACTAAAGGAGGAAAACAGCAGCTGCTGTGGGAGATCATAAAGCTCAACTGAGATATTTCTTCTCTATCTTTCCTACAAAACCAAGAACCTTACCCTATGCCAGGGATGGGTAGGGGTGGGAGACATGAGCACCCACTGGTACTCTTTGATCTCTGGTGATAAAGCATTGCATATTGGGGAAAGAAATAGGAAGTAAAAAAGCTTCCAGTCCTGGAGGAATGGCATAAAGATGTATTGGATTCATAACTACAAAGCAAGTTACAGGACTGAGAACTGGGGACACAATACCCAAAATAAAGACTTACTTGAGAACAACCATGCCCACCCTAATGCCCTGCCCAAAGCACATACCCGAGGAAAAGAAATATCAAGTAACAATTTGCAAAAAAACCCAGATCTTCACTTAGGCCTAGTGTAGAGATAAGACCAAAAGTTAGCATGAAATAGGCAATTGAAAGAAAAAACCCTCTGAAAGCCCGTACCCTAAACACAAATGTCATTAGAAGAATATGAGACGGATGGTACCTTGAGAGTAACCATAGCAACAATAAGGCTGAAAACCGGATTTTAATAAGTGAAATAAATTTCTTCCCGCCAAAGTCCTAACAGAAAGAAAATCATACTTATTTCCAAGCATAAAAACTATTTACTTTAGTCTCTCCCTACACAAGATATCCATCTTCCAGGAATACATTAGGAAGCAGACAAAAAGGCAAGGGAAAAAAGCACATTCCTAAGAAACAGAGCAATCATTAGAGCCAAATTCTTACATGACACAAGTATTGAAAGTATCCGAAAGGGGATTTAAAAATGCTGATGATTAATATGTAAAAGGCTGTAGGAAAAATGCAGACAACATGCAAGATAGGGGGTCAAATTCAGCAGAGACACGGAGATTATAAGAAAGATTTAAATAGAAATACCAAAAATTCAAAACACAATGACAGAGATGAAAAAAATATTTTCAACAGGCTTAATAGCAAACTGGACACAGTCAAGGAAAGAATCTGCATACTTGAAGGTGGGTCTAAAGAAACCACCCAAGATAGAATGCAGACTATGAAGAAGGAACCTAGAGAAAGTAACTCTGGAAAACAATGTTTTGACTGGACACTTTAAGGCTTGGGACACAAAAAACTGTAAAGAAACATTGCAGTCTAGTTGGGAAAGGTGTTTTACACACATATTATCAAACTGCTTTATATGAGTTTTAGGTTTGAACGAATAAATAAATTGCAGATTTCTCACTGTTGGAGAAAAATCAGGGTGCATGTTGAAAAGACTCCCTTCATGGATCACAGCCTTGTCATGGCGAGGGGGTTTGCATAACTCAATGAATCTATGAACCATACTGTGCAGGGTCACCAAAGATGGATGGGACATAGTGAAGAGTCCTGACAAAACATAGTCCCTTGGAGGAGGGAATGACAAACCACTCCAATATTCTTGCTGCGAGAACCCATAAAGAGGGCTGAGTGCTGAAGAATTGATGCTTTTGAACTGTGGTGCTGGAGAAGACTCTTGAGAGTCCTTTGGACAGCAAGGAGATCCAACCAGTCAATCTTAAAGGAAATCAACCCTGAGTATTCATCGGAAGGACTGATGCTAAAGCTGAAGATCCAATACTTTTGGCCACGTGATGTAAAGAGTTGACTCATCAGAAAAGACGCTGATGTTGGGAAAGATTGAAGGAAAAAGGAGGAGGGGGCAGCAGAAGATTAGATGGTTAGGTAGCATCACCATGTCAATGAACATGAATTTGAACAAACTCTGGGAGATAGTGAAAGACAGGGAAGACTGGCATGCTGCAGTCCATGGGGTTGCAAAGAGTCAGACATGACTTAGCGACTGAACAACAACAATACCATGTTGAAAGGACACAGAATTCACAATTAAAAAGAACTCTCAATGATGAAGGCCAAAATAATTAAGGCAACAATGTAAATAGTCATAGTAGTAGTATTACAGGATTTTATAGGATTTTAAGACCAAAATAAAACAAATGTCCATGAATCTGAGACCTTCATTTTTTGGTCCAACATGTAAGCTGGTTGGAAATCATTAGTCCTACCCTTACAATAAGAAAAGTGCTAGAGAAATGGAAAATCCATGACTTTCTTACATGCATCAGAAACTAAGTTCACAGGACAAGCTGCATTCCCAAAGTCCAGAGAGAGAAAGTACTTGATATTTGCTTACCTGAAGCCAAAAGCGTCAGCCAAGGATCACTTATCTAGTAAAAATTGGGAATTGCCAGAGGTGGCAGAGACTATCTCCAACTTTCACAGCTTTTCCTCCAGGAATACCAATATGTTTTCCTTGGAAGCCCTGAGAAAGCTCCTCAAGAATCTCTTACAGGATGAAGTTCTCCCAGACCTTTTTCTCTAAATAAAGACCTAATCTCCAGGATAAAGGACATCACCAGAGAGCAATTCTGAGAACTTAGCTTGGAGAAAGGAAATCCACCTTAACTCTAGCTTGATCCTGCCTTCCCATCTCACCTAAAGGAGGAAAAAAGCCAAAGTTAACATGAAAGATGGCTTCAAGGAAGTATACTGGAAACACTGGGAGTGGAGAGGGGATTGGGGGCCAGGAGACACAAAAGCCCTATTCCTGGAGAGGAGCAGAAATACTTCATAGGGCAAACGTCTGAGATGCAGGCCCACTGAAAGACTGAGACTTAATCTGAAGGTGAAAGAACATCTTTTTTTCCTTCATTACCTGCCACAACACTAACAAACCTCCAAAAATAATAACAATGGATTAAAAGTTAAAAACTTCAAGGCACGGATTCTCTCTAAGAAGAGCACGTGAGAAAACTGAAAGGTAAGAGGGAAGGGAAAACAAGATCACTAGAGCAAGTCAAAGCCTCTGATGCCTATAACTAAAACAAACATTAAATGTGTCCCAACTCTTAGCCAGATTACCATGAATCTCATACTGATGTCCTGTTTATCTCAGTAGCTATTACCCTATATAGTATGTCTGATCTCAACAAGGCATGCCAGAAGGCAAGAATAAATACCGTCTAAAGAAACAAAGCACCTCTTTCCCAGCTGGAACCATGGAGGTTGCAGAAGAGAAGAAAAAGAAGATTTCTGCTGTGCCAGAAACCCTTAAGAAAAAGTGAAAGAATTTCGCAGAGCTTAAGATCAAGTGCCTGAGAAAGAAGTTTGCCCAAAAGATGCTTCGAATGGCAAGGAAGAAGCTTATTTATGAAAAAGCTAAGCATTACCACAAAGAATACAGGCAGATGTACAGAACTGAAATTCGAATGGCTAGGATGGCATGAAAAGCCGGCAACTTCTATGTACCCGCGGTACCCAAATTGGCATTTGTCATCAGGATCAGAGGTATCAACGGTGTGAGCCCAAAGGTTCGAAAGGCGCTGCAGCTCCTTCGCCTCCGGCAGATCTTCAGTGGCACCTTTGTGAAGCTCAACAAGGCATCAATTAACATGCTGAGAATTGTGGAGCCCTACATTGCATGGGGGGACCCAAATCTGAAGTCTGTAAATGAATTGATCTACAAGCGTGGTTATGGCAAAATCAACAAAAAGCGAATTGCCCTGACAGACAACGCATTGATTGCTCCATCTCTTGGGAAATACGGAATCATCTGCATGGAGGATCTGATTCATGAGATCTATACCGTTGGAAAACGTTTCAAAGAAGCAAACAACTTCCTGTGGCCCTTTAAATTGTCTTCTCCACAAGGTGGAATTAAGAAAAAGACCACCCATTTTGTAGAAGGTGGAGATGCTGGCAACAGGGAAGACCAGATCAACAGGCTTATTAGAAGGATGAACTAAGGTATCTACCAGGATTATTTTTGTAATCTGGTCCATTAATAAACAATTGAAACAAATTGAAAAAAAGGAAAAAGAAACAAAGCAAGCATCAGAACCATACACAAATATAAAAATGATGTTGCTATTATCTCACAGGAAATTTTAAACAATGACTATAATATGATAAAAGCTTTCAAGGAAAAGTAGATGACACACAAGATCAGATGGAATACCAGCTGAGATAAGGAAACTTTTAAAAAAATTAAAGGGAAATAAGAAATAAAAATAAAAATGCAGTATTTGAAATGAAGACTGTATTTGATGGGCATACCATTAGACTGACTGATTAAAAAAAAAGCAGTAAGATTGAACATAAATAAATAGAAACTTCTCAAATTGAAGTGTAAAGAGGAAAATAAAGAAAAAAAGTACAGGATATAACAGAACAGTTTAGAATAGAACAGAATATCTATGAATTGTGGAGCAATATCAAAAGCTGCAGCATGCATATAATTGGAGTATCAGAAAGAAGAGAAGAAGAGACTGGAACTGATGGAATATTTGCAGAAATAATAGTTGAAGGAAGTTTAGAGAACAGCCACGGGATAAAAGCTCAAAACACTACACACAGGCAAATTATAGTCAAACTGCAGAAAACCAAAGATAAAGAGAAAATATTGAAATTCAGGAATTGAAAACGCTTTCTATACAGAGGGACAAGGATAGAATTACAGCAGACTTCTTGTTTTTAAAAAATAAATGCAAGCAAGAAAAGAGTGAAATGAAAAGTTCAATATGCAAGCTGGGAAACCAGGAAAGCCAGTAACAGTAATTCAGTCCAATTCTAAGGACTGAGAACCGAGAGTGCCAGTGTCTGAAAGGCAGGAGAAGATGGATTTCCCAGCTTAAGCAAAGAGGACAGCCTTGACCTTCCTCTGCCTTTTTGTTCTGTTCAGACACTCAACAAATTGGATGATGCCCACTTGCATTGGTAAGGGTGAGCTTCTTTACAGTCTACCAATTCAAATGCTAATCTCTCCCAGAAACACCCCCAACAGACACACTCACAAATCACGTTCTAATAGCTATCTAGACGATGCTTAGTTCAGTGGAGTTGACACATAAAACTCCCCCACACCCAGGGTAGTGATCTGAGCCCTTAATTTTTTCAAGACTAGCAGGCCTGTTAGGATTCCCAGATGGCTCAGTGGTAATGAATCTGCCCACTGATGCAGAAGCCACAGGTTTGATCCCTGGGCCAGGAAGATCCTCTGGAGATGGAAATGCCACCCCACTGGAAAATTGCATGGAAAATTCCATGGACAGAGAAGCCTGGCAGGCTACAGTCTATGGGGTTGCAAAGAGTCAACACGACTGAGCAACTGAGCACTCTTGCAGCTGTCCTCTCCCTCCGCTCAGGGTTGGGAATGCCACCGGGGTCCTTGCTGCATTCATCCTCCAGCCTACCCTCACTCCAAAGACTCAGATTCTCTCCTCCTCATGCTTCCTGCCTGCGAAAGGCTCCACTGACACAGCCTTTTAAAAATAAAGATTTAAAAAACAGTAAGAAAACAATCCTCAAGGGACACTGCAAAGCAATCCAGCTACCCATACAAAGACAAAAGATTTTTCAAGAAAGTGACAAGAGAAAAATGCAATTAGAAGGGGAAAAAAACAGATAACTACTTCATTAAGCTACTTTGCGATATCTTTTCCCAAGAATCAAACTCTTGTTTCAAGTACTACAGAAGACTGCCAAATAGGCCTTTGCCAATTTTGTGGCTCTTAAACTACCAGAATGCAGCATATTTCATTTGTCAGGACACCTCTGAACAACTGTCCTTCTTGTGGTTGGAAGGAACACGCAGATAAGCTGCATTTTGGAAGGAAGGTGGAGAGCAATGATTCAAACTCAAAACCATCATATAGTAACAAGAAACTACCTTTGAAGAACAGATGCAGTTACCTATAGGGAATTTGCTTCGTTAAGGCCCCACTGGCTCAGCGGTAAAGAATCTTCCTTTAATCCAGGAGACACAAGCTCAATCCCTGGGTCGGGAAGATTCCCTGAAGAAAAAAATGGCAACCCACTCTGGTATTCTTGCCTGGGAAATCTATGAACAGAGGAGCCCGGAGGACTGCAGTCCATGGGATTGCAAGAGTCAAACACAACAAACAACGGCAAAGGAGGGAGAGCCTTTAACTGATTAAATATTAAGCAGTGATGCTTTAGAACTCAAGGTAAAAGCAGTCATACTGAAGAAGTATTTGTGTATCCTTTTCCAGAGACTGACAATAAATTTAAAGTCTCCCTTTTCACAAAGCTTTACTAAATTTTCATTTAACATTTTAGACAGGTTGCAATTCAATTTTTTTCAAATACATTTAAATCATGACAGTAACCTAATTTGTATCTGTAAGTACTTCAGTGAAGTCACTGTAATTATTTAATAGCATGCAAAGTCACAATTTAAAGTTGGTTTTCTACATAGGTATTTTTTAAGTATTGAAAACACGATAAAAATTTACCATTAATTTCATAAATAGTGATATAGAACTATTAGATTTTCTGTTAGGGAAATAAGACACTGGGGATTCTCTTTTCTGCTTCCTCCTTCTCATTTTGTTTGTTTTTCTCCAGGTTGTATTTTTTAATGGCTGGAGGAGTGGGGAGAGCAGGCGTAGTGGAGAGGGAGTGAAGAAGTGTGTGCGAAGGGGGAGACTTCATTGTACAGAATGGTCATTAACTGTGATGCAAACGCCAATGTTTCCATGGAAACCTCTGTCCACTACAGAATATACTAGAGCAATTTTTGAACCATTTGTCCATTTGATTAATTATGTCTTTGTGCCGAAGGCAGCTTGGCTTGATTGTCTCATCATGTATTAGAGAAGCTACTGCTCTAACAAATGGGCCTATTGTTTTGGGCCTATTCATCTTAGTGCATCCCTGCAAGCTGATAGACATTTCAACAAAATGACTGTCCCTTAATGAGCTGCAGCCTGTCAGAATTGTTTAGGGCTTCATGTGAGGTGCAGACCATGGTCATGACAGCCTCAGTTATTACGACAATGAGTACGATGTCTATAAAAGAGTCTATATGAATACAATGACCCTCGTTTTGATATAACATAGTTGCTTTTTAATTATCAAACTTATGTATATTATAGTCACAAAACACTTCTGAATTTTGTTCCAATGTGAGCTATAGAGTTTTCTGACAAACTAAACCAACATGACCACCAAATTAAAAAACATAAAATGTTTTTCATAATTTAATACGATGGTTCTTGATTTCTAGTTATCTGAAGAAATATTATGCAATTATGGGAACTAGCTAATGAAAGCAACGCTAACATTTTTATTATATTTAATGATAATCGAGATTGAGATTTTAGCGCTCTAAAATGAATAAAAGTTAACTTTACTTAAGCAAATAGTTCTCGGAAAAAAGCAAAGCAAAACAAAACAATGCTTTAGAAAAAAAAACTTGAGGACACATAACACTTAAAAACAAGTAAATATATATTTTAGTAAATGAGACAGATAGACATTTCTAGCACCCACACTATGTGTGAGATTTTTGAATAATAACCTCCTCTGTGTTCAGAGTACTCACCTGTTGATTTGCTCTGAAGACTTGGGAGTATTGTCACCCCAAAATCCAAGGGTCTTTCACAGAGGTCAGTACTTAATAATGACTGTTTTCTTGTCCACAGTAAATTGTAATAATTCTGCTTTAAAAGAAAGAATATATTGGCAATTTTTATTTCATGTTTGCTCAAAGCAAGAGTGAATTCTCCCTCAGAACAGATGAATGCACTTTCTAAGAGGGATGGTGTGCCAGTCACAGACAGAGTCAACATGCCTGAAACATCCCCTTTGCCAAAAGTTAATTATGACACTTGAGAAAAGCTTCCTATATGTTTTTAAATTGTGTATTTCAGTTTTACTTCTCTTTGCAAGGAGCAGTAATGGAACATCATTGTGTATGGTCTATGCTTTCACTATTTCTCCATACAGAATCAATGATTCTGCCCTTAAAATTCACAGATGGAAATCACCATCCTGTAGCTACCAACAGCGACACTTAATCAGTTAATAACTGAGGATTAAACTTAATTCAGATTAATTTGTATTAGTATAGAGTTTGTAAATCAATTGCTTTCATATTAATTTACATGTTGTCTAGACATGACATCATGTTGATTCTTTGTGTGGTTCAACTACTAATTACAGACTTTGAGGGTAACAGATGCAAACTTTTTGTTTAAAGCTTTAAACATAAATCAGGGCTAGGGTGGTGGTCCAATTTGTTTTAGGTTGGGATTTTTTTAAGCTAGGTACAAAACTACATGTTAAAGTCTGAAATGAAAATAATTTAACCTGCTTAACATGGAAATGGCTTCTGGTAAAGATGAAAAAGAATAGATTTAATTGCTGGGGAGATAAATTCTAAAAACAGAAGAAATTGTTCAAGATTAAATCAATATCCCCAATGTTAAATTGATATGTGAGAGACTGAAACATTATTAAAATAATTTGTAGTTACAGATTTCAGTTTGCATTTTTATCTGTTCCATTTAAAGTCTAAACTTCACATAGTGGAGTAACTGTTCTATGAAAAGGGTTTATTTAATTCTGGCAATTCATTTAATTCTAGAATATTTGGAACTTCTCATAGTCTTAATTTTCTGAATAGAGCAGGGAATTGTGGTAAAAAGTAAACAAACTAAAATAAATAGAAAACATTTCCTTCTTTTCTCTCTAGGATCCAAAAATGAAATCAGTGGGCTAGGTTTGAGTTGGAGAAACATTAATAAATTTTATTCATTTACATTAAAAATTTTTAAATAAAATTCACTTACTTAAAAAATTTTAGAGCAAAATTCATTTACTTAAAAAATGATTTTCTCTTAAAAAACCTGAATCTACTAAAGAAGCCTAACTCTTAAATATGCTTTCCTTATTTGGATGTTAAAATAGACAAATCCAACAGAATTAATCCTTATTTTCACTT